GTGTATTATAACTCTCTTCACCAGAAAAGATAGATAACTGTTTTGGCATATATTACAAGCAATGAGATTATATTTAGCAGTGATTTTTTTCACAGATTCTATAATCTTGGCATATGCCAAAATATTTAAATTTGATTTAATCTTCTCTCTGCCTTTTTCCTCCCCAGGCATCCTAGGTGTCATCAGCACTAAGTGTCAGCATTTACAGATGCTGGAATACCATTTATTTTCTCCATTATTTTTAAATTCTTTTATTTAATACAAGAGGCACAGATCTTTGAAAAACAATTATCTTCCTTTCATTTAAAAATGTTAAGTACCTTGCAGAACTAATACAGGGATTATATGTAAGAGTAGCAGAACTATCAGCACTTTCTTCCTATTTGGTTGTTCTAAAAGGATAATAAATCAAATCCTCATAGTGCATGTGTTCTGTAAGAGATAGCAAGAACATATGAACAGTCCACGGATGTGTGCAGAGAGTGAAGGAAGGAAAGCGCAAAGCAGTGTTGTTATCAAAGCCATGACTGAAAGTGGCACAGCTTCAGATGTTCCACTTACCATTTTGCAGATTTTGACCCCCTGAAAATGCCAGTGGCACTGTCACAACTCAAAAAAACCCTGAAGGAAGGGGTATCAGAAGCCTTGCCAACATCCAGCACAAAGACAATTTGACTTGCATAGTTCCCAGCAAACCATTCACGTGAAACAGTCAACACATGGTCTTCACTTTTTTCTCCATCAAAATTTAATTATATAAACAATAGATAACCGGACAGGTACATTGTCTAAAACCATAGTTGGCTTAACAATGATTTCCCAAATAAGCGGCAACTGGATGACTTCATAAAACTCTTTAAGTTAAATTGGGAACAAGTGGCACTTATTATTTATTACAATTATGTTCATCACAACAGTCATTCATATCTTTATTATTATATGCAAGGCTTTTTTTTGTCATAGAACATCCAGAACGGAGTTCCGGCACCTTTTTTGAATGGAACCTTGTAGGGTAGGCAAGGCGGGTTGTATGACGTGTGTGAGTTCCGGCACCTTTTTTTTTTTTTTTTAGAAAAAAAGCACTGATTATACGGTTACAGTATTATAATATGCTCTACATGGAACTGTCTCTGAACACCACCCTTCAGATAACCCCGATCTAATCTAAATATTCTGTCCTGTTCGAAATGGCCTTTGAAATAAAGAACTGCAGTCTTACTAGTGATATGCAGGTTCCTTTCCTACAGAAAGTAAGCAGGCCTTTCTATAATTCACAGTCAACAAAGATATATCCAGTGTCTTCTGTGACTGGTGCTCCACAAACGCACATTCAGTCTTTCTTCAAACGGAACTCCATGAAACTTCCCATATCTTGCCATGGAGTCCAGTTGTTTGAAACTGAGCTTTAGAAAAAGCTCTTCTGTGATGTTGAGGCATGTAAGTTGCTAAACATTTTTATAACTGGGAGGATTTATCTTACTGAAGATAAATACTAAAAAATGTGAACAAAACATTGTCATAAATATCTTAATAATATGGCCCTGGGTTTGTTTTGTTTTTTTAAAAAAGTGATCATTTCTACAGTATATTTGCCAGTTTGCATTTATTATGATTAAACTTCCTTTCGGAATTGCACATTTCTTTTATAAAAATCTGCTCCATATCATTTTGAAATATTTGAATAGTTTTGTATTTTAACTTTTTCAAAAAATAATAAAAATAAAATAGTTCAAAACAAAAAATCTGCTCCATATCAGTACACTTCCCAGAATAAAATTGTATTATCTTTCTGCTGGCAATTATATTTGCAATGACCTTCATTTTCTCATTTGGTTCAAGCTTCATAAAAGAACAAAGAATACTATCCAGAACAGCTCCCACATACTGTCCTCAAATATTTCACCTATCATGCAGCTTCCTAAAAAAAGAACTTCCTGTTTCCAGGGTAACAGGAAACATTTCTGGACAAGTAGTGATTTGTCTGAAGTCCACTCCCTCTAGAAGGGACATGGGAGAGATCAAAGCTCTTTAGGGAGGAAGCTGAGGAAAATGGGAGGGAATAGGAAAGTATATGCCAAAGATATCAGAATGGTGAGAATTCAAGGTATTAAAAGGATAAATGGTGTAAAGAAAATAAAGAACTTAGAGGAAGATTAACACAAAATTGAGAGTATCCGCTGCAGCAGCATCACTGTTCCAGAAAGAAGCTTTGGGTGTGTCCTGTTGTACTGTAAACCATCTCAGCTACTTAGCACCTTTCAAGATTAGATAAACCTTAGATCAGGGGTCCTCATCCTTGGCAACTTTAAGACTTGTGGACTTCAAAGCTGGCTGAGGAATTCTGGGAGTTGAAGTCCACAAGTCTTAAAGTTGTCAAGGTTGAGGACCCCTGCCTTAGATAAACCCCTTCACCTTCCATTTCCCACCTCCCCTACAGTATTTCTGTATCAGTTGCCAGAAAAAAAAATAAAGTGGGAAGAATTTGTCCCAAGTTTTGGAAAAATGAGAACTTTGTCTCCAGATGTAATCTAAACTGCTGGACCTGGTCAGCCTTGAATCCTTAATTTTCAACCTAAACTAGAGTTAGTCTAAGCTAAGCTAAGGTTTTATAATTTAGACTTTTCACATTAAATCCCTGGTTTTACTCTCCCTGCTTGTCATCTCTCTAGGATGCTGCCATTACAACTATACTTAGGATAACACATCTATTTTCCCTTCATTTCTAAAAAAAAATAGTTCCTGGATTAGGGATGTGCTAAGAAAAATGTTTTAAGGTGGATCAAGCTTTGAGCTAGGTATAGTCCAGAACTTGACCAGTCAGTGCATATGTGCTTCAGTCAGGATATTATCTTTGCATTATAGTTTCCAAGTCCCAATGCAAAAAAAAATGGAAGGAAAGAAAGCAAGTGAATAAACATAATGCAGGCCAATGACCCTCTGTCCAAGGCCTTATGGGTAATGTTCTTGTCTTTTGAAAAAAAATTTCTGGACCTTCCTTTTTAATAGTGTCATTACTGATTTCAGTTTTTTGCTTTACTGTTTCATTTGTGAGCCGCCTAGAGTCATAACAGACTGGAGCAGCATATAGATTAAATAAATATAAACCAATGTTTTAAATGTGCTGATAAGGTGATAACAGAACAGCTGTTTAAGGAAAATATCTGAGTATCATCTCACAAATATATTGCAGAAAAGTCATCATTTAGCATGATCTAAAATGGACATCAGTCTTTCATTTAAGTAAACTGTTATCTGCTAGAACAGAGATATGGGCATGTTCCCCTTTATTCACATGTTTCTTGATCATGCTTTTATTAATTGCCCACTTGGCCATGTCTTGCATTTCTTTCTACTTTTCAATCTCAGTTCATGCTTTGAGCAGCATAGGCCAATAAGGGGTAGTGGGTCATATATCATTAGGCAACATGGAGAAGCTGTGGCATAAAAAGAAACAGGTACTGGTAGACTGTAACTTTGGGAAGGAAATAAAGAGATGAGTTACTACAGGATAGAAAGTTAATTATGTTTTAGAACTGAGATAGGTAATAAGTTTTGAGGAATATGGATCTACACAATGTTGTTATTGGAAGTGAAATGTTGGTAATGACGTTCTGAATCAAAAGGGGTTAAAATCAGTGTGCTTCTTTGGCAGGAAATCTCCTAGCAAAGATGGGTCCCTGTCACTAGCCGCCGGTGAATTATCTGGGACCAGTTAAGGCATCAGACGTATGGCAAGGATACAAAAAGTGTTACAGATATGTGACTCATCCTACTATGAGGAAGTGGCAGAAATTCGTTCATTCATTCATTTGATTTATATGGTCACCCAATTCATTAGAGCAACTTTAGATGGCTAACAACAGATAAAAACTGAATACAAAATGGACAACAATAACGTAAAAACATTGAGTGCAGATAGATAAAACCTTATCAACAATAAATTAACAACTCTTCATGAAGTCCAACTAACCTCCTGATTCACATGCCCAGAAAAATATCTAGTTTTTAAAGCTACCAAGCTAAATCATGCTACAAAGAATCTTTTCATACAAAGTGGTGTAAGAGATCAATGAAAGAGATGTGAATAGGTAGTCGACTTTTCATGTTGAAATATAATGCAATATTAAAATCCCACCCAAAAACCGTGAAAAGTGGTAGTGACAGCAAATATTTTAGTTTTAATTTTTAATATGGTATATATTGATAAATATAACCAATACAAACAGAAGATTTTTTGGGATCCTCCATAATTTTTAAAAGTGGGAAGGGATTCTGAGGAGAAAAAGTTTAAAAAACACTGTTTTATGGTAACTAAAGAGAAGGCCATCTCATGCTGTGTTTTAATGGCTGTTTTTATTCTGAGCTGTTTGTTTTGTGTGTGTATTTGATGCAAAACTCAAAGGTTAAAATGCATATATTTAAGGATGGGTTTGTATAATAATATCACAGATTGCAAATAATATTTTTTCCATCATTATGATTTGCCATGAACGCATATGGCTGGAAAACTACAAAAAATCAAAATGGTCAGATTATTAATCTATATTACCCCCAGGAAGCCTTGGAAATATAAAAATTATGGAATTTATTTCTGAACATAGTTTATATAAAATTACATTGTAAGTCAATAGCCACTTAAAATCAATTGCATCATCTTATTCTCCAATAAAATGATTACATTATTATAGCAACATAATTAAGATAAGATATTAAAAAACAAATGGAATATAATGCTCTAGTATATTCTCAAAAATGTGAGCTTCAAAGAAGATATTGGTATCTGATAGAAAATATTGTTGTGTGTCCTTTCATTGTCTTAAGAAAATTGAATAAATTTAGTAATATTGAGCATAAAAATATTTTACAAAATTAAAAATGCCCAATATAATCAGTGACAAATCTCTTTGAGGATTTATTATTTCCAGTGTTTCACTTGTAATAAAAAGTAATTTATAATTCATAATTCTATGGTGTAAGATTTAAAAAAATAGCAATCTTACCCCTTAAGTGTGGATCCCAAGTTCATTTGGTTCCATGTCATGCATTCAAGTTGAGAAGTCATTTGGTATATATTGTCACTGTTACGAAAATATTTCCAGTTAGTACTAAAATTATATAATCTACTTCAAATAATTAGTTAACAGAGAAGTAACATTATATCCTTTTTCAAAACAAAAATCAAAAAGCAATGTAAAGTAATAAAGTAGTTAGGTTATATTTTATAAATTCGTAGACAAATTTATAAAAATAATTTATAGTTCATAAATTAAAGTAGTTAGGTTATATTTTATAAATTCGTAGACAAATTTATAAAAATATTTTATAGTTCATAAATTTTAGGGAAACAAGACAAGAGTGAAAAAAGAAAAAATATCACGAGAAGACCTACTATGGAGATTTGGAGTTTTCAAAAGGCCCACAAAATGATTGATAGAGAGATGATAGATAGACTCAAAGATACTACCCTGGTTTAAAATATCTGTAACTTGTGGAAGCCCTGTTTAAATCCAGTATTTTGTTTATAACCATATACAGATTATACTATCTTTTTACAACTCTTTGTAAGTTACATTACTGAAAGATTGTGAATTTGTATTAAGTGTTTCATTATCACGTGGGCAGCCCAGTTGGTGGTAGAACACCATCTTCTTATTATCTTTACTATCTCCTCCTATTATAATGATGTTTACTCTGTTGCTTTGCATGTAGACTGAGAGCTTCTGCACTGGAGACAAATTCCTTGTATGTCTAATTATACTTGGCCAAATAGAATATCCTAATATTTTCTACTTTTATTAAATTGAATACAATTGTAAAATTATTTCTGTAATTTTACTCCCAAGAAGTAAGAACTATAACTGGTTTCATTGTTTCTAAATCTGTAATATCATTCCTTGTTTTGGAAGAACATACAGTGTTGTTAAAAGACTTATCAAAAACTGTGTTACATAAGTAATTAGCTGATTTAGCTAATCTGACACAATATCATATAATATCATGAGAAAATTATTAGTACTAGTCAAAGAGGAGCAAGAAGAATTTAGATTTCTTTTTCTTGAATACTTTTTCCATATAACAATAGTTAAGACTCTTCTCTTTTTCTGTCTTTTTCATTTTTTCTCAACTGACCTCTTCTACAACTCTAGCTGAATATGTCCCTCAATCACAAATACATTTTAGGCAGATGTCCAAATTACCCAGATAGATATTCATAGCACATCATTCATAGCACATCATTGGAGAAGACAAAATTATCATTTGAAAAATCTCCCTTTACACGACCTTTTCCAGAAAAATGTTTTGCTGGCTATGAAGTGAATTAAACATATTTACAAACTTCTAAATAAATACTCTGTCTAGATAAAAAAGAATATCATTTCTGTATGTGTGCATGTATGTATATGTATACTCTCTACTGGTTTGTATCATGCTCTTAATTATGAGACAAAATCTTTCTGTAAAAACCTTAGTATGTTCAATATTTCCTAAAAAACATACTTACATGAATCATCCATTTATTGTAAATTCATCTACCTTGTTTTCTGAATTATGAGCAAAACATAGCAAAATATATTTTAAATCATTTTCTCTACAGCAATCTGGAGTTAAAATTTTGCCAAAATACTTTTTACATACATACACACACACACACACACACACACACACACACACAAACATATACACACGGGCACCTGAAGAAAATAAAGTTAGATGACTTAAATTGCAAGGTATGTGTAATACCATTTATCATTACCTCAGCATACTATTATTCATTAGAGTGTCCAAATTACTATTATGTGACTACAATGACCTGCATATCAATTCAGAAATTGTTAAGACACTCCTGCAGTTTTCCTTTTGCAACAGAAGCTCGTGCTGGTCTGTGCCACCACATTTTACAATTCCATGCATTCTTCTTGTAATGCTGATGTAATTAATTCCTCAAGGGCCTTGATTTTTATTAGAAATGCCAGACCTTGCATTTACAGCAGGAGATTTTCCTTTAATTTTATTTCATTTGACAGTTCATTTATAAGAGCCTCCTCCACAAAATCTCTTTTTTTTTTAATTTGCTTTTTCATCAAGTCATATACTTACTCATCTTGTCATCAACAAAAAGACACAAAAATTGCCAGGCCTGAGAAGACAGCTAGAACTTGAACATTACTGGGGATAACTTTTTACTTATAGTAACAGAAAACCAAATTTGATGTAATCTTCTCAAAGCACAGTTATGTATTTATATAGATTGGGCATGGAGAAGTGGAACAAATAAATTAGAAAACCGAATAAATTTCAGTTCAGTAATAAATTGCACTGCAGATAGTCTTTGACTTAAAAGCAGTCAATTAGTGACTATTCGAAGTTACGACAGTCCCCAAAAGGGAATGGCAACCCGGTGTCAAAGTTCCATGGTCACATGATCGGTCTTGGGCATTCGGCAACCAACCCACACTTACAGCCATTTTCAGGGCCTCCACAGTCATGCGACCATGATTTACAACTATTTTACCAGAAACTGGAATTTACTTCCAGTTTTTGGCAAAAAATGTTCCATAGCAAACGAGTTAACTTAATGATTGCCACAAAAAAGTTTGTAAAATCAGATCTGATCATTGGTGACCCACCTTATAACATTATGACTTACAACTGTAATTGCCAGGCTCAATTACTGTTATAACTTGAGGACTGCCTGTATAAAAAGAAATCATAGATATCTGTAGGATCAAAGTCAATACCCATCTAGGATTCATTTTTCAGACCACTCAGCTAGATGCTCCTTGGATCACAAAAGTAACTGAGAAGTACTGAAGACAGTAGCCGGTTTCAGACATTGAGCTAAGCCAGTTGTTACATGTGATTCTAGTATTCTATGAAAGGAATGCCTTAAACGTTCCCCATGGCCATACATTCAGTTTTAGCTTTTTCTCATGAGGGAATTGCTACCTCTTGTCATCATTCTGGATGCTGTTTCCTTCAGACCTTCCTGCTCTCTAATATTATGAATTAATGGCAACACCTATAAAGTTTCCCAGCATTCAATCATTCAAAAGCTTAGAAATGCAGTTCATCATGCAATCAATGCAAATTATCTGTCAGTATGAATTTCAGCAGAAAGAAACTATTTGGTGACAGATGTAATCTAAGCCATTAGAAAAACAAAAGGTTATATACTAATTTTAACTTTTCCTTTACACTGCAGACTTCACATTGTTCACAAATATTTTGGATCTTGTCCGAAATATTTCTTAAGTGTATCCTGTTGGAAGTTCTGGAAACGTGCCTCTTGTCATTCTCATGAAAATCCACTGTGTATTATGTTAGGAGGCTTCATTGTTTGTATTTCAATTAGTAGCCTTTACCTAAGGCCAAATATTATGAAAGATGCCAAAATCAGATCAGTACTTACCTCTTAAAAAACAGTTGTTGGAATGTTCAGGTTACATCAGGCAAGCCAATATAGAGAGAGGGAGAAAAGATTTATCTGTCACATTTATGAAGTGCTGCTTGGTGTCTTCTCCTCGAAGATAAGTGCTTTAGGTGCTGCATATGGAGTGCTGCATACATTTCTGTTTCGTGCACTATTGTGCATATCTGGCAGAAATCTTGATTCATTTGTTTGTATGTGAAATATGGCATGAATGTGTGAATCAGTCTGCATTTTAGAAAATTTTTAAGGAAGTTTCCTTTAGTGGGGTCATGAAACGTGCTAACGTGCAGACTTGCATGTGAAACAATGATTCTATGTATATGCTGTTGCATGCGAGTGCTTCTGGCTTGTGACATTTTGCACCTGAATTTATAACATCCATTCTTTTTGATACATTACTACTTTCAGAATTTGCTTTTAACCCTATACAGCCTACTTCCATATTTTCATTAACTCACTTTATGTTTTTGAGAAGGCAGAAAGTGTTGGAAGGGCTGTTGGGGAACAATCTCATCAAACTGTCTTAAAATAAATGGATGTTTTATGAATGGTGTATCATAGCAGCCATTTAATGAGATAGGCCAACATATATTTTCAAGATTCCACATAGGCCCACCAGCTCCCACTGGGTTCAGAGGCGTAATCCATTTTTTGAGATAAAGTATAGCTATTATGACTGATGGTACTACCAAAGAGTTCTGCATTTTAATAATTTCCAAGCATGGCCAATTCACCAAAACAAAAATTATATAGACTCTGTGTCTCTATATCTATATCCCACGTTTAGGGAGACATTCCATATATTTACTGCAAATAGCCCATAGTGCAACTGTTGATACATTGCCTCATTAGGACTGTGGTGTTATTTTTTTCTCAGGAACAGAAAATGTTGCTATTGTTGTTATAAGGGCAGACTTGATTTAAAAATAATATCTTTTTTTAAAAACAGGAACAATTGCAGTTTTGAAAGATACAGATAATGCTTGTCCTTTTTCAAAAGAGTAATAGAATTCCAAACATCTGCTTACTCAAAATTTATCCTAAATTAAGATGTGTTATATTTTAATGATCAAAATTATGATTATTATTTAAATGCTTAAGTGATGTAATTGACTGGCTGAGGTTCAATAAATTCCATCTAGCACAGGGGTGTCAAACTCGCAATGTCATGTGACGTGTCGTGACTTTTTTTCCCATTGCCGGCAATGGGGTGGGCGCAGTTTCAGCATGATGCATCCGGCCCGTGGGCTGGCAAGTTGACACCCCTGATCTAGGGGGTGTCAACTTGCTTGTGGTGGTTCATCTTTCTAATTAAACAGTATCCCTGTTCTGGAGATGGATATAAAGCTACTTTAAATATAAGTGTACAGCTTAAGAATTTTTAACCCATAATTGTTATCAGAAGCCCTGTAATTTTATTTGTGTCTTTTCAGCTCTGGATAGTACATTCATTGAGTTAGACAAGATGGCCAGACTACACTCCAAGGCCATTACATGGTCAAATCTCCTTTTGAACAGTATCCAAAACAGATCATATAATTGGTCTCAAGATCTTATAAGCTACAATCTCTGAATCCATTTAAATGAATGTGAAAAATCCTAAAATAGGCATTTAAAACTATTGTTTTTGCTTCCTTTTTAAAGCAT